CCCACAGCGGCAGCGCAAAAAAACAAAGAAGGAAGCAAACTTTGACAAGCCGAAGTTTATATACCCTTATAGCCATAACAAAAATGTTATGTATATATTCGTTTCACTTTGAACGTTCCTATAGCAGCTATATTATTTAGTCGTCCGAACCGGCCTTTTCCGACTTATGTAATACACGCAATATAAAAAAGACTTTAAGGAATGTTTCATCAAGGTTTAATTGAGTCGCTTGGTCATGCTGATCAAGAACATTTGTTTATTTTTAATTTTTTACTTAAACTATAATACTTTCTGCAAGGGTATGAAAAAAAAGCAAAGTGCTGGGCTAGATTTCTTTGCATCATGTGAGATCCACACTCGCCAAAGGTCGGGTATATTAGTATTTCTCCTTCCAGCGAACTATAAACTCACCTCATAGTCCCAAATAATTGAAATTCTGATCGGCACAAACGATAATAGTTTCCTTTGTCAACGAGGAGAGTGCAAAACTATCGAAGCAAATTCTATGGTCATTGCTGACAGTGTCAATCTAAGAGGTTTACACCTTTCAAAGGACGAGCCTTTGTCGTCTGGTAATTGAATTTAATTTGCCAGGATAAGAACCATTCAATTGCTTTTGAGTATCAGTTTTAATGACCAAGCGTTTGAAGTAAATAGCGTATACATACATATATACCATTAATCTATGAGGGAAAATGGTTTAAAAAATTTGAGTATAAGAAATTTGCGATGGAGCTTATCATAGTGAGAAAAATAAATATATACCCAAAAATGTGATATTTTTATAAATCAATAAAAGGCTTGTTTGATCATGTAACCTACTTAATTTGACTTTATTTATCGATACCTTAATATTTTTCATTTTCTCTTTAGATAAGTCCACAAGGTATACTTCAGTCGATCATAAAATTTCTTCTACTTCCTCTGAAGACTATTCAGATATTACTCGATACACGTCAAAGAATAATAATAATAAATAATTAATAAATATTGTTTTTTTCTTGTGAGCGTAAATATTCTTATATACATATATTTGGCTTTAGTTGCCGGGAGTTAATGTACACCCCATGTACATTGTAGCAGCTCCGAATTGGCGGCACTTTACATATACAATTAGAGTGAATGTGGTGCGTGGCAACAATCAATGTGTCTTCAATTTGCCAAACAACAATCGCTTTGATTGCAATTACCAGAGAGATGGAGGGGGTTAAGCACAGATACAGCTTCTCGTCTTGATTAGTTGGTTCATGAGTTCATGATGTGGGTGGTACGTGCTGCAACTGCAGAGAAAGCAAAGACCAAAGGGCACAAAAGACAGACACCACAGACCGCAGGCAGTGGATCCAAACACATTGCTGGGGAGCCAGGACGTCCGTCATCCTGCTGGGACATGTTTTGGGTCTGATATGACACCCAACTAGACTTAGACTACTCTGCCCATTGCCACTTGCCCGAGGTTTGCGTGCGATAATTAACATCTAGATTTTTAACTACTTAGCATACACCCACTCGATAAAAAGAGCAGCTACTCGGGGCTCCAAGTCGGGAAATGAATTCGCGTGCTTCTCCGATGTGTTTCGTTACCCACGCGGCGGCAACTCACTTTATGTTTACTTGGCCAGCGGTCAATGAACTGATTTTCCAGTTGGCAGCCACACCTGTCGCTCCCAAAAACTAACAAATACTCAAGGCTTAATAGCTTAAAAACTATCCGAGTTCCCTTGGTATTTCAAGAAACAATACAGAGAGTCAATAAAAAAAGGTAATGATAATGTTAAAGCTTTGTTACTATTCCGGGTTTTAAAATATGAAAAATTACCTAAAAGTTTATATTAAATATAAACTATATAAATATTGACAACAAGAAATACCTAGAAAAGGATAAAAATCCTGTTGCAGTGACTCGAATCATATTTATAAAGTCTTTTGGTAATTTTAATGAATCCGCAATCAACGTACATAAGCTTTTTTTCGATGTTAGATCGAGATTTTTTTCGTAGCTATAAATGTGTTCAAGGCATCAAAAGCCAGCGACAAAACAAGTTGCGGCTCCTAATTCTTAGTTCGGCGATAAGCTTCTGTCTCCACACTTTAATTGTTCACTTTAAGTTGGGAATTCTAATTCGCTATCGCACTATAAATTCCACTCTTTATGGCACTTGGTCCAGCTGATAGCCAGAGTGCAGCGGAAAACTTTTAAGCTGGGACCAAATTAAATATCTCACTTCATTCCGACTTGCAGAGGAGTCCCCGTCTGAGACTGAATTTCAACGTCTGCCTCTTGATATAATCAGCATTATGTCCAGGCATTAGGGTAAAATTTATGCGGCGACGGCGGCGTTTTTTCCCTCTACCGCAAACCATTTTAATGGAACGTAATTTTAATGCCACTTCGAAGAAGAGACTGGAAAAAATAAGAAAAGCTAGTACAAGAGGAGAAATAGCAGTGCAGTTGGGAATGCAAACATAATTTTCCCTAATGCCAGTGCAAAAGTAGACGAGTTTGGCATTGGCAGTCATTAAGGAATACATTCAATTAGCCAGAACAACTATATAGGGCAGCTGTTCGTTGTTGTTGATCGAGGGGCGTGGCTTTGCAGCCATTGGATGAGCTAGCAATCTCGGACTGCAGCACCAGATTCGCACCACTTGCACCACCAACAAAGCAAAAATCCAGCGATAAGCGAGCATTTTGTGACGCACTGCTTCCGCAGAGTGACGTAGGTCGCTCACGACCCCCGACTGCTGATCCCTGATCCCCAATCCCCATCCATTCTGATCCGGTCTCATATATAGTATGTAAATACGTACTGCAGATAGCATCAACAACAGGCGACGAGCGACAATCTGACAACTGATAGGGGAGAATCGCTTTCGCAGACCAACTTTGACAGCCAATGACTTCTACTTGACTTGCACACTCATTCGGGGTCATCTCAGATACCATAGTATCATATTGAACATGTGGGGCGTCACATGGCAATCCGGTAAAACAATTGCTTATCTATGGTAGCCGTGTGACAGACAGCAATTAGGTGAATTAGGAAACTAATTAGGTAAAAGAACTAGTTAGAACCCAATTCAACTAGTCATAAATTTATGTAAAATGTATGTTGTTGTTTAAAGGGGTTTGTTAGATTTACATTTCACAGGGCTAAACTAAATCCCTTAAATTATAGATTTATTTACCATTTATATAGCTATATAAAGTGGTTACTTCGAATTTTACCAAAAGAAATACAATTAAAAAATGTCTTTAATAGATGTTTTATGAAATAATCTTAATTAAAATTGTTTGATAGAAAGATCCCGAAATAATGAGTTGGTCATACACGTTCTGTAATTTTTCGGGAAATAAAATTCATTCAGTAAAGCATTAAATCCCCTTGGTCTTTCCGAGTTTTCATTTCTTAACCAATCTGACAGCAATAAGTCCTTGTAAATAAGTGACTAAAGAACGTATTCTTCCGACGCGAACAACCATCCTGCTTTATATTTGCATTCGCTTTTGCATACTTCAGCTGGTACTCGCACAATGCGAGAAATAACTTTGCTGACCAGAAAATATGACGGGAAAGAGCAGAACTTTTCCGGAGAAAGGATCAAAAGAAAAAGCAGACGAATAAGTCTAGAAAAACTTTATGGCAATAGATTTTCCCTCGTTGCCGTCGGCAGTTGGCGGGGCGGCTTCATTTCATCTCATTCCTCCTCCTTCTCAAAAGACAAACTCACTTTTTGACTCGTAAAATGTATTGCAAATGTGTATGCTCATCCCGGTTCAGAGATCCATTTGCCTAGCCCATTTCCATTCCGCTCTGCTCTAAAATATAACATTACTACAAATTGAAATTTCGCGCACGTTTCTGTCATTTAAATCTGTTGAGGCGGCCTGAAAGGGGCGGACGGGTGTGGGGTTCCTTTTACTATCGGGCAGACGGCAATAAAATAAATAACATTTAAAATGAAATATTTGATTGGGCGGCGCATGCAAAATGGATACAATACAGTTGGGGCATGCAACATGTTGGGCACTGCAAGACTTGGGCTGAATCTGAAGGTGACCTTTACTGGCTGTGGTGCCTTGCACAAAACTCCTAACGCCGTCTCTAATGCATAACTTTGCATAAATTTCCCACATCCTAATCGCCAAAGTTGACTCTGCTGTAAATAAACAGAACAATGGCGCCAAGCCAGAAGGAAAACTCGCCGGTGGGCGGAGTTTTGAGTCCAAGATGACAGTGAACTTGGCGGAGCGTGGTGTGTGGTGAATGGTGTGAGGGCCCTGCAATTGAAGTGTGACCTCGATAACGAAGTGAAGTGTATCTGCGGGTGCGTCCAATAGAGCACTTAAAGCCCCGACACCACGGAGCATGAAAATGAATAAGTTGCTGGAGCGCAAACATTTAACGCTTCATTAACTTTAGATAAAGCCCGGGACCAGGCAAAAGGACAAAATCGGCTGAGACACCCCCTAGTACATCCTCCCCTTGTCTACGGCAAAAACTGAGCCCAACTTCAATCCCTACAATTAAGTAGACCACCTAAATGCCAGGTGGGGCAGCAAAAATCGATGACACAGGACACTTCAGCATGTGCCCGCTTAAAAAGTAAAGTATGGAGAGTAGTTTTGTGGAAGGAATTAAATAAAAGCATATTTTAAGTAAGATTATTGTACTAAGAACAGCTGTCATCGCAAAGTCTAAAAGTATATTTTAATTTAAAACCTACTTAAGCCAAACTAAAACTGTTGATTAGCCTTTTGAAATTGGCAAAATTACCAATATCAATGTTTTTTGTAATCAATTGCCTTTTTTAAATGATGAAATTTAAATACTTAAAAACGCGCTCACATAACATTTTAAGCTAACAAGATCAGTAAAAAAAATGGTGCCTTGTAAACAATGCTTACATATATAATGATTGTAATGGCCAACTTATTTCGTGCGCACATAGTGAAACAAATTTAAATATTCACTTCCTCGGAAAATAATGCCACTTACCTTCTCTTGCTTTCAAGTAGACCGTATTGGCCACAATATTCTCTAATTCCATTAGTTCCAGGTTGGCGGTTTTTTAATGAATCCTTTGGCGCTCTTGAAAAAATAGTCACAGTGGCCCTGGCTCGTCCTCCCCTTTGATGTGGCTCCTGTTTTCGACCTTGGCTCCTAGTTCCTTTCAACCGGGATATCGCTCTGCTTTTAACTGGGCGACTTCTTATTCTTAGACTTGCAAATCTACGGCTGGCTGGCTAATTTGTAACCGTCGTCTGGCGTCCAGCGTTGCGGTATTTGGCAGCAGGGTTTCAGTTTCAGACACAGGCGTCATTTAGTTTTAAGATTGGAATTTGCAAGGCCGAAAATATGCCCTTTTCTCAAGTTGAACCAATATGCGCTTGATTGATTGCTGTGGGACTGCGGGCAAATGGATATTTTTCAATCTGCAAGAAAACGTAAGCGATAAAGGCATATAAATATCTTAGTTAATTGGATTTGACAGGGGACTGCGGGGATAAGAGGTCCATACGAGTTGTATACGGGTTCAACTTGGCCATTTCGGATGACCTTCTGTAAACTATTTTTCAAGCGAATTTCTTTTAGACCGAATATTGGCTTGAATAAAGTCGAGCTTAACAATAACCTTGCAATTATTTAAAGACTTCCCTAATTGTTCACATATCCAAATAGCCAAATTAATTGTGGTCACTTTTAAGCAGACTTAATTATATTTTTCGTAGTGCCAGGCATAAACCACAATACCCCTTTGCTGCTCTTAAGAATACTTGAAGTATTCGCATTTTCATATATATATCATGTTCTTTGTGGTTCAAGTTCGCCTCTTGAGAGAAGTTAGTACACGTTGCGTCTACGTGTACATGTTGTGTCACCTGTTTTTGACAAAAGAGCTGCGTGCGAAGATAAAGTTTGCTTTTGAGCACTGAGAAAAATCCCAAAAATATAACGTTCTGATCCTAAAATATAAATTTTTTTGAATTTACAGCTACAACGTTTTAAGTGGATCGTACAATTATCTCTATAAAAGTTTGATCATGGGTTTGTAATGTGTTTGTAGTAAAGTTTATGTTTTTTAAACATTCAATAATAAATTATGAAAATATTATTTCGTTAATATAAACATTAATATTGATATTCGATTAGTAAAAGCTGTTTTGACGGTGTACTCCTAGGATTGAGTACTTTCCATCTTGTGGCTGTGGCCCAGCAAAATAGGGATGTGAGTTCGAAAGCCCCCGCATACTTAGCCCACCTTAATGGCTGTTGGCCCTCTGAAAGTGTCAGTAATGTTGCGGTCGACAGTGTGTCGCATTTATTAATCATGGACGCATTGACAAGGGGCGTTCCGAAGTGGGAAGTGGTACGGATACCAAACGCATCGAAAGCCGGTGTCGATGCTGGGACCCCGTTTCTACGTGTGGGCATGCCCTGTAAAGTCGAGTGTCACGAGCAACTAATAGCAAAATAATTGGATGACACAAGCTTTCTTTTGCTGCGTGAAGGCATTTACAAGTTCGTAGGGTCCATGAGCTGTATGGCAACCAGATGATTTCAATAATCTTTTTTTTTTTGTCTCAAAAAAATTTTTATGACAGCGGCGCCGTATTTGCACTTATCTACTCTTATGTGCGTCATAAAATTGTTGGTGTTTTCTTAATTATTGGATCTCGCGCATAGGCAATTTTTAATTAAAAATGAACTCATGAGGCTACATATAGATCTATTTGCTATGGAACAACCATCCAAACCGCACCATGTGCTGGAGGCACATCAATCAAGGCAGAAAGTGTGGCCATGCGCGAGTGTTTATTTTAAAAACAAATTTAAATTTCAAGCAAAAACAGAAGCCACTTTTTTGCCGCCCAGGGATAAATTAATTGCTTCTAAAATGCGTAGCCAAATAAATGGGAGGGCAGGACCAATCAAGCTTAATATATTTTTGGAACCCCCTCTAATAAACATGGCTTTTACGTTACGTTCGCTATGTATTATTCAGTCCTCGAATGGTCATGAATATGGCCATTTCATTTACACTCCACATCCACGCGTGGCCACTAAAAGAGGGAAACACCAACAGCATCGAAATGGGAATGGGAATGGGCCCATCCTGGCTTCTCCTGTCTAGTTCAGCGATTGTCCGGGGTAGAAATTAAGGAGGAAGCAGCAGAAGCTGTGCACGTTAAAAGCCTCTTTATTGAACATTTGCGCCATTAGGCCCGCTTGCTGAAGCTGTGGATGCTGATGTTGCTGTCACAACGACGAACGATGGCATAAAAAACTCAACCGCCAAACGATGTTGTCAGTCATCCATTCACATCCACATTCAATTTCCACATTTACCCCCGTTTGTGCATGCAGCAAGCGACGCCATTATGAAAATGTTACGAAATGGCGAAAATGTGCATGGAGCTCATAACGAAATTAAGCGGTAGCATTACGGCCACTTTTTCAACACTTCCTGGAAAGGTGGCAACAAAGCTAATGTCGTTTTCTTTGGAACAAGAAAAAAACGAATGATAAATCAATACTTTTTCCACTGAAACAAGGTGCCAAACTGAGATTCCATATATTTAGCTAGGGTGCTCCCACAAATAGCTCTAAAATTACTTATGGTATCTACTTGGCCCGAAGCTACATCACAATTTACTTGAATTCAAGCCATGTACCTTTGTCGTCGGTAGATTTGCTTTCACCTGTCCCACTTTGCTAGGCATCTGAGTATCTGAGATTTCGGCAAATGGGGGAGATAAGTGATCCAAAATCAGAGGATGTTGTATCGAGGACAAAGTAACCGCGGTCTTAGTTTAGGAGCACATTAACAAAATTATGGAGGAGAGCAGCTGCCATCGTTTGGACGGTGTAAGCAGCCCCAAGCTTTAAAGCTATTGACTTATTAATTAAGACAAAGCAAGAGTCAGCCCCAAATTTCGGTCCTCAAATCATGGAGAGGAGAGGAGAGGATAGAAGGGCACTGTGCTTGGGCAGAAACAAGGCATATCATCCCTTATCACATTTATGACAGTCATGGCCATAACCAGAGCCTCGGAATACGTCAATTTAAATGCCAAACGCGAAGTTACTCATCTCTTGGGTCACTGAGGGAAAAATATTCTTGAAATTGTTATATGTTAAAACTTTTTATTATCTCTCAAAATAGAAAGGTAAATGCAGACATTTAAAGTAATAAACTATAAAGCGTATGTTCAATTACCACTTTGAAAGTGGTGGAAGATAAAAGGTCAATGAAAGTCAGTGATATTTTTGATTAGCGATGAAAAAAACTGAATGTTGGCTTGCTGCGGTGTATAAGTGACACAAAGAATAAAAGGAACATTGTCAGTGTATATCAAGGAGTTTTGCATTTACTTTTCTCAAAAGCCATTTAAAAATAAAAAATTTGGAAACGTCCAAGATATTGTATAATCAAAACTTTCTCTCAGTGCAATGACTTAACTCGCATTCTACCACGACCCATGCATAGTCAAGTAGGCAGGGTAGAAATAGCGACACAAAGGAGCAGTTTGGGGGACGCGTAGGACAACCTCAATCATGGGAATGCCCAAAACGGATATCCTCAGCGCGTTTTACTCGACTTCGTGAGTTATGGAGTCGTCTGCATCCTGTTCCTGTCTGCATTTTGCTGCTGATGCTAGCAAAAAGCGGAGAAAACGCAAGCCGGAAAAAAACACAGTCGAGTAAAGCGAGTCATATTGCCCACTTGGCTTTCGTTTTTATTTGCTCTGCTCGTGCCGCCCTTTCATATATTTTTCCACCTTTTTTTTCGGTCCCCACATATTTTTCGTGCTTAAGCTTCGTTATGGTTCCACTTCCACCCAGTTCAGCTGCTTCCCCCTTGGCTTTCCCGCACCTCTTTGAGCCGTGTTAATTTTACTCTGAATGCGCAATTTATTTACGTTAAACTTGGACGTGCATGTGGGCGGTCGGTTCTATCCTATATGTGGTTCTTTTTCCCGTTCCCCGGATTTTTGCCTCAGCTCTGCGCTGGGTGCAGCTTCCTCGATTTGGCTGGCTGGATGGCAGGCTAAGGATCAACTTTTCGTCAGGCCCCTGTAGCATTGCATGTCCTTCGTGTAGAAGCATATATAGTACGTGCGGACGACTCCCACAAAATGTTTTCACTTTAATTTGCAATCGCTGCAAAATTTTAATCAGCTCTCCCCCTCGCTGAGTTTTTATGCATTGTCCGCCCTTCTATTCCGTTTTCAAATTTTCCGCTCTTCTTTGCATTATGAGTCGGTAATTAGAAATGCAAGGCAATTTAAAGAACGGAACAAGCATTTAACGTTTTGCCTTTAAACAATTGCTTGAAGGAAAAGTGGAATGAACAACTTTTAGCAATACCCCATTCTAAACATTTGAAACTAAATAAATTGAATAGGACCTTAATGCAGTAATGCCTTTGGTAGGCTTATAAATAACTATTTTAATCGGGTCTCAATTTTCAAAAATGTAGTTTTCCAGTCAAGCTAAGTTTAAAGCCTCTTGCTGTACTAACCTCAATAGTAGTTATCTAGTTTTAAACTGTTAAAAATTAGCCCTGTAATAATTTTCACATTTTCCCTTCTAAAGCGAGATATTCCCACCGCCGGACAAGCAAATACAATCCATACTTGTGTATACTTTACTGCTCAGTAGACCGCAAAGACGTGTCGGTAGGTGTTGTATAACATTGCAGTCACATTAACACAACGAACGGAACAAGTAAAGACAGCCACAAGTATGCGGTTAGTTGGGTTACTACTCGATTGGCTAACGATAATCGAAAATAGCCCAGAATCGGCATCAGTAATACTTTTTCTGTCGAGACACGCGAAATCGGAGACGAGACAGCAATACTCTGTGTTACCCTGTCGCCAAGGCACTCAAACAGACCTTACTGTGAATTTGGAACAGATAGTAGCACGAATCTAGAGCAAGATAATCCCTGTCCAGTGTGTTGGACTGGTGTCATTTTTCTTGCTGGCAATCAATAAAGCAGCGCGCCAACAACTGTGCCAAAAATGACCCAGTTCGGTGGACTTGGGAACCACAGACTCTCCGCAAGGACATCGATGCAAGTGCCAAGTGAAGCTATTTTTTCTCATGCCACTATACCATCCCCTTTTAAATTTTCCTGGCATGACAGCTATGCGGTATGGGTTGGGAAAACAATCGAAAGACTGGTAGAGATTGGTCTTGATTGGTTCTCGGTTTGATTTTTTCCCACCCCTTTTCTGCCACTGCTCATTTTTCTTCTTTTGAAAAGGGTTGGGAAAGAAATTATGATTCGACTCGCATTGCAAACGATTGAGTTCTACTCCCAAAACACGTTTCTGCAGGTCGATGTACTTGGGAGTTTCTGTTTTTGCTGGCATTGAAATTCCTACGAAACGGGGGTACACTTACAAAACTGCTGCATACTTTG